TTAAGTTTCTATGGTTTAAATTCACAAAGGTAAGTTTTGAATGAAGCACAGGACATTTTTAGTAGGGATGAGAACAATAACTCACAAAGCTTTTGACAGCTTACTATATGTCACATCTCACTCCTATGCAGAAGACAACACCCAAAATTTGTAGATGCCTCTGTTTGAAAAAGAGTGGCAAAAGCCAAAAGGGTTCAGAAAAAAAAAGCTCACAAATTTTTATTAACAAACTACACGCTTGGCATGGAAATTGGCATATGTTTGCCCCTATCTTCTAATAATAAGATCAATAAAAGAATAACAGAGAGAAAAGATATAGCAAGGAAGAGATGTCAGATTGGAGAGGAAAGTAGATATCCAGTCCTGGGTCCAGCATCAATCCAGCTGAGAGGGTGTCCAAGGTCCTGGTGCTGCCACCCGGGCTTTGGAGGGTACCCTTCTATATGTGAGTTTTCCCCACCCTGGGATTAAGTTTCTCACTCTTCAAGTAAAGGAGTCATCAAGCACAATCTGTTCTTCTGGACCTTTCTAGAAATAGGCTGGGGGACTTTGAGGATCTTTTGATGGTCTTGATCCCCCCTTCTAGCGGATTGACCCTCAGTTGACAGTTCACGCCTTCCTGCCCAGGCTTCTACAGTATGTCAAACACTGTAGCTCAAATGTAAAGTAAAGCATTCAAAAAATGCCTAGCTATAAATGTTGTATTTTCTGTTGCTAGGTTTTCTGCTGGATCTACTCCACTCTTGGAAATTCAAAACAAAAGTTAGAGGAAAAAACGTTGCATTCATGTCATGTGCCCTGCAATTTTCTCTGTATCTCTATTAGATGAGTAAACATACGACATGTGTTGTAATACAACCTGTTCATACAGGACACAGTACTATATAGAAACTCATGATTAACATTATCTCTCCCTGAAAATAAATGTTACAGTTGACAGAATCAGATTATAAACATTAAGAAAATCACTAAACTTTATTTGGAAAGCCTGCTCCAATAACTGACAAATTCTATATAAGAAAAACAAGCAGCCCATATTATTTATACCATTTATATGGCGTAGCATTTGGCAAAGAAGTGATGTATGTATTCATGTAGCTATAAATGCTGACAGGAATGTGACTACTGTTTAATTAGTACAGATTAAACATTTGGCAGCAAAGAACAAAAGCAAGCTCTCATCTGTAACTGTAAATGAAAACAATGGTAAGTCAAAGTGTCTTTGAAATGCAAAAATAAGTAATTGATTCTTCGTAAAATTGTTCTGCAATATGTACACAAACTATACGATAGCAGTCAGGAAGGCTTTTCATTTGAATAAGTACTGACAACTCTTCATAAACGATTAATACTATCTCTGCTTATGGTTAGAAAACAAATTTCTTTTACTGCATACTCCATATGTCATCTTTTCTTTCTTGTAAATTTAAAGCTTGCTTAAAAAAGTCTTGGCTATAAAACCATTGTGTTGGAATGACCTGTCCTTGTTTTTTTGGCAACTTAGCTAAAGCATTTTCATCAAACTTTATGATTTTATATAATTTGAAGTAATAAACCATGACACATCCCCAAAGTGATGACCTTAGAGAATTTTTTCTCTCTAAAAATGCATCACTATAACTGTTACAGATCTTAACTATGAAATTATTTCAATTTTCCCAGATGTTTTTGCAATGTAAGCATACTTTGAGGCATGTTTTTTCCCCATCTGTGTTTTCATTTTTATATTTACTTTATTCCAAAATACATGTAAGCTAACTTCTTACACAAAAAGATAGAATGTTTTGTAAAAAAATCCCACAAAGAATCACTGAAATGCTATCAAATATCCTTTCTTTCAAAACTGAATGTATTAATACCTCCTTCCCTTTCCCCTGTAATTTCCTTAAGTTAGGACTCGTTGATTGACTTAGTCCCTCAAAAACAGAATTTCTGAAGGAAGATGCATCACTAATAGTCAGCTGTTAGGTTTTGACAATTTCTTTGTCCAAAATAACCATTATGTAATCAAGGTTACGATATATCAACACCATTCTGATACATGCCAAATATTATTTGAATTAAAAAGAGATTAAAAATTATCTTCCCGTAACTAGCTACATGACAAAGGAGAAATCTGGCAAATAATCGCTGCTGCACCCTCCAACTTTGAGCAAAATATTGAGGAAGACAGACATGCTGTTCAAACCAAACTGCCAAACTTCCCAGCTGGCGGATGGGGACTGCAGCATTCATTCCTGTGTCCTTCCCTCTTTTAAATGACCCAGCCTATTCTTCTCCCTTCAGAAATTTCTGAGTGTGCTACTGCTTACAAAGGAAGGAGGCTCCTTGGCAGGAGCTGATGAATAGTACCCTACAAAGAACTGTGCCACAAAGAACTGCAGTCCTGCAAAATGGCTGCTAATCCTCAGAGTTGTCAATGAAGCTCAGCCATGGGTGTGGGAACTCGAGTCTGAATTAAAAAAGTTCTTCCACCTCCCTCTCAGGGAAAGCTGAGGGCCTTGCTTTCTGAGAGTATGCAATGGGAACATGTTCTGCTCTCACTAAGCTCAGTGGGAGATGGTGGGCATTTTAGATGAACATAATTCTTTGAAGAAAGATGAAAGCACCTGCCACTTAAAAAAATTAGGAAATGTAGTTGTAAAAAGTCCTGCTTTCTACAGTTTTGCATATTATGATGAAGAGAGGGTGGAACATAAGCAGAGAGGGATGAGTGTGTATCTTGGTTCAGGTCAGGAAAAGAGATTTTATGATGTGTGCATGCAGAGAATGTACAAAAGTGGGAAAGGATTAGTGAATATGAGGCAAAAAACAGAAGAGATTTATGTAATCATACTTTGTAGGACTTTTAGGGAAAGAAACCCAAGAAGCTCCAAAGCCACTTAATAGGTCAATATCATTTTGATGCTTTGTGTCACTCTAAATTAGAATAAATAAGTCAGATAATGAAACTGGCTTTAAATCTTAATATAAATCCCTTTTGGTGCTCATATTTCATGCTTTCAATTAAGCATAGATACCATAGTCCCTAAGTTACTTATTGACTATTTTTAAGTTGAAAAACAGATGTGAAGGCAAACCATTAAACTGGAATCAAGAGAATACTTCAATGACTTAGAATTCACCTCATAAATGAGAGATTACTTGAAAGAGGTCAGATATTTGGAGATATGCTTATACTTAACAGATATTCAAATAAGATAAATTATGAAAATACAGATCTCCGTGTCTAAACAACTTATTTCTAAGGTTGCCAGTATGGTGACAAGGGGAATAAAAATCTGGCAACCAGAACCACCAGATGCCTTAAATTGTAATCACAGGTTTTGCATACTGTAATCAGAGCAACCTTACAGCTGTGTGTTTGAACTGGGCAATTCCCTAAGCCTACCATAAAATGTTTACCTTACCTTTAAGCCCAGAATTAACTCATTTTCTAGTTGTGTGTTTTGGAATAACTCAGCGATAACAATTTCAAAGAAGTCATGCAGTTCTGTAATCCTGTATGCGGAGATGACTTCGCTGAGATTCTCATTCTGATTTCTAGTGAACAAGGAACCAACCCTGAAGACTGAGTTTTAATATCCACAACTATTTCACGAAAGAATCAAAGCTCATGAACAATCTATCTTTGTTGGTCTATTTATTGCTGTCTTTCTTTTTACTTTTTGTGGGCCTTTTTTCTAAATTAAAGATGATGCAATATTTTCAATGCTTTCTCATACAGTAGCTCTTTGATATCTGAGATGTCTCACACCAGTTTACTTTAAGCTGGTCAGAAGTGAAATGGTTGTATCTGATCAGTGGTTTGATAGAATATGAAATCATAGGATGTTTTTTCCTCACTGATATGGAAAGTAGCTACGCAGAAATGTTCAAAGTTTCTCCTTACTAGAAGCCATCACTCATATCAAGATAGCATTATCAAAATAATATTTTTAAAAATTCAAGATACCAACCTGTTTTACCATTTTACTTAGATTAGGAATTGGTGATGTGTTATAATTAGTGCTTAATGACATTAGCTATTTTTTATTAGCTAGTATCCTCTTTGTAGGTACAACATGAAGCTTAAAATTTATTATGGATCTCTTATTAGAACAGTGTTGAAGTAGAAGTTGGATTCTAGAAATTTCTAAAAATTTCCGCAGTCAATGGAAAAAAATGAAATCACATAGCCTGGATTTTTGAGTTCAAACATAAGCCATGAAAGAAATACGAAGTATTTGCAATGTTACTGAGAAAATGATATTAAAAAAGTGTGGGCTTTTTGATAATCCAGACAGGTGGAAGGAGACATATAAAAGGTTACTTTAATTTTATCCTTGCTACTTATTTTCTCCTTGCTTTCCTTGAAGGCTGAGTACTGCGTTATAAAATGGCTACTAAAAAGCCCAAATACAGAAATTAATTCAGAATTAAGTATTTTAAACAACTTTTGCAGTCCTAAATCCTAAGCATTTAAAGTATTTATAGGTTTTTCTATTGTTTCATGTCTTTATTTGAAATTCTCTCTGATAAAAATGTGCATGTAAGAGTGTTAAATGACATCTGACCTCTCCTCTGACTTCTAGTCATGTGATGAAAAATGCTTTTGAAAATATTTAAGTGTAAATACAGGAAGATGACTAAACTCTTAAACTTTTGTCTTCTAAAAAATTCCCATCGCTGCCAAAGCTGGTGAAGCTCCTCTGATGGTTAAAATAGTGGGAGCACTAAGGCGGAAAAATCTTCCAAGTGCCCACAAGCATTCTTACCACTGTACCTTCTATCTACCACTGCAAATCTCAGTTCCTTCCTTTAGAAAATGAGTGGCCACACATTCCTTATCACATTTGCCCTTCCTCTCACAGAACTTACCATTGGGAAACTTCACATAAATATATAACAAGGACAAGGAACAAATTTGTTCAGCAAGGCAGCAAGCAGGCTTACTGTACTACTCCCCTTTCCAACATTTAAAGAATGCAACTATCTTCTCTCTTTCCTTTCCCATGTAGCTTGAGAATTACATCCAAGACAGTATGAAGAAAGAAATGGTAGAGATCCAGCAAACTGCAGTGCAGAACCAGACTGCAGTAATGATTGAAATAGGCACAAACTTACTAAATCAAACAGCTGAACAGACCCGCAAATTAACAGATGTTGAAGCACAAGTAAGTAATGAATTTCAACCTAAAAATGCTTCTGCTTCTCAAATACTACAACTATACATTTAATACCATTTAATGTTACACTATTTAGTTCAACAATTAGATGTCAATCATTATCACCAAGAGCTCCACCCAGCCTAAGGATACATTAGTATTTGATAATACTAATTAGTATTAGTAATACTACATTAGTATTTGATAATACCTAGTTCCATCTCAAGCCCTGTGTTGTCACTTGAGTGATTTCCTTTACAGCAGGATTTGAAGTAAGTCTAGCAAGACAACTGTTACATTAATCTTTAAAGAGAATGTACTTAAAACTACTATACTATATCTAAGCATCAGTTTGGTCCTAGTGTGCTTTCATACAACCTTCATTGTATATCTTTGTTGATTATTTACCACCTTGGCTAAAAGAAAGTTCCTTCAAACTGCCTTTGTTCCATTTACCAGGTTCATTGCTTTTTAAAATTGAAACTTTTCTATTTTTTTTTAAACTTGTCAAGAAAAATATGTGGTTCCAGCAAAATGCACTATATAACAGATAACAGAGGGATACATAAACAAATCTGAGCTACATCAAGAAAAAAGAAATTAGAAGGCTCCTAGTAAAGCATATTCACACAGAAGTAAACCTGCCTACTATACATATTATTTGCTAACTTACTTAAAAAAAAAGGGTTTATCTTAATTATGGTTTTAATTGAAAAGCATTAACTACAATAAGACATTCTGTTACACAGAATGCAGACATTAATAGGAGAACAAGTCCAATCAATGTAGAATGGTATGTATTTGTATTTTTGCAGACATGGTGCGAAAATTCAGGTCTATAATTGCCAAAACATATAATGAATCTAGCATTCAGTACATAACATTTTACATAATATAAACAGCGTACAAAACCTAAAATCCTTGTTAGACATTTTACTATCTCTGGAACTCATCCAATGAATAAAATCACACTTTTAAACAAGCCTCTGTGAATTCTCTGATAAACTGATAGTTCATAGCTCACAGAGGTACTGAATTTAACTTTGTGATTGCATTATTCAGGAGCCCAATATTTTGCACATGTTTAGATGTATTTATTCATTCATTATAATGTCTTTATGGAAATTACTTAATTATTTTCTGCTTTGAGGAAGAAAATCATGACTGTAACTTTCCTTCTCTGCTTGAAATTACTGGTGACTGGGTTAAAGGCTTAATTAGCAACATAAGGAAATTAAGCAAACAATTGCTCTCTCAAGGACACTTACTTTTGGCAATAGTTTTCAATTACACTTAAGTGTGAAATCATGTCCTGAATGACTGTTTAACATGAAGGACATGAGTAATCAATTCTTCCTGTCAAGGAAAGCCAAATTCTGTTGAATTAAAAAAAGCTGTTCTAAGACAATGAGAAAATATTTCTAGAAAACATGCCTCAAAGTAATGCAATCCAATACAGAGCAAGCAGTATCTTCTGTGTTTCCTAGTATCTGCATCACTTGATTTAAAGATGCAAATGAAGTGTAAACAATATATTTAGAAAAGGTACCATTCAAACAGAAAGAATGAACTGACAAAAGTGTGGTTCACATGGAAAACATCTGAAAATATAATTTGGGATTGAGAAAAATAGCAAGGAGGGAACTATCAAGTGATTTTAGGACTGGGCCAAGATTTCAGCAAGTGAGAGAGTACTTACTTTCTACACCAGACTGAGAAAACAACTCAACTCATTCTTTGAGTAACAACCATAACAGTTCCAGTAATGAAGTAGGAATTATCATAACAGAGGGGAAGGTATAACAGCAAAGCTAAAGTACACAGTAACTCTTATCCATTGATCAGAAATGTAGCAGACTACTGAAATATTCCCACTCATATATGGTAGTGTAATAACAAAATTAGTGCAACCCTGTGTATTCTTCATTCTGATTCCATGAGCATTTTTGCCCACATTGTTGAAAAAAATATATTTTTTAATCATAAGCTTAAAAGAGATTTGCACGATTTCAGAACATAACAAAACTAAAATTTATTTAAAAGAAGTATCTTAATTGTCAAATTTTTTTTGTAAATTTTATTTAGGTATTAAACCAGACAACCAGACTTGAACTTCAGCTTTTGGAACACTCTCTTTCAACAAACAAACTCGAAAGACAGATTTCAGATCAAACCAATGAGATAACAAAATTACAAGAAAAAAACAGGTAAGTATGCCTATCAGCCCAATAAAATGCTATTCCCTGAAGTGCCCTTCTAATACTTTTAGAAACAAATGTACTCAAGTCAGAAAATAAGCCCTGGTACACAAGCTCCCCCCACACAGCTATTCTCATTACAAAGGTCATATATTATTTAAAGCCTAGGAGATCATGCAAGTTTCTTCTTGTATTTTGTTTATATATCATCCTTCACTATTTAAAGTTCTCCTTTATTTGAGGAACTTAAGGCTAAAACTGAAATACATCTCATTACGCCAATTTATATTCTTCTTTAGACTTATCCAGATGAAGTTATCAGTAACCTGATTCCAACTAATTGAGTGCAACCACATCTCCAAAATTTTAATTCCATGTAGTACCCAGCTATCCTAATGACCAACCAGATCATTGCCACAGTTTTTTTCTAACATGAGAAAAATAAAACACTAATCACATTCAACGTTCCTTACTAGTCAACGTTTGAAATTCAGACTAATATCCAACTGTTACTCCTCTCCTTTTCTCTACTCAGCTGTGGTCCAAAGGCTCATAGCTTTTTTCAGCTGGTTTGGTTTCCATATCATCAGGGTCTTATTTTACTTTTGGCAATAAATAGTTTACAGAGAAATTTAAAAGAAGCAATAACAGTAAGTTTTATCCTTCAAAACCATGTTTTTTGATGAGAACCATATGTGCAAAGTGCTTTTTATTTTGAAAGAATTAGCTTAAAAAACCCATGAGACATGTTATGACATTTTGTTCACTAGTCTACTACATTTATATATGCTCCCTAAAGGTTTTATCTACCAGCTTAAGAAAAGCAAGCATCCTTATCAAATGGAAAGCAAAGGAAATACTGAATTTTAAAGGTCACTTTTCTTTGGTGTTGAACTCAGCAGACCTTAGACTACTCTTGTAACATTCATGTAAATACAAAAGCATTGTTTCTCACCTAACAAAAGGTAATCTGACTTTGAGCTAATCTGCTTGAAACATAAGAATCAAGATTTTTTTTTTTTCCCAATAACAGCAATGGATTTTAGGTGAATTTCTGTCTTCTGGCCATGCATGTTTTAACATCAGCTTTCTCAGAGTCTGCATCAGAACAATTAGCAGTGAAATAATGTTCCATCCAGAGACTTAATCATACTAGCTCCAGAACTGGAGATGGCTAACACATTTTCAAGTAACTGTTTGCACATTTCCCTGTCTTAATGCCATAACATTAATTCATATTAAGTATATATTTTATTGTAATTATAGGACATTTGAAAAGTTCACAGTTTCATTCATTCTCTTTGAAGATGAAAATAAGTTTCATCTTTTAATAGGGTAAACCCATGAAATTTTAGTCACTATGAAACCAAACTTTCATTTAGTCACCTACTGCAGGCATGGCATCAGAGAATGAAATCAAGTACTTACTTGAAACTTCTAAAACAGGCTTGACATCAGCTCAAAACTGTTTTAGGGAGCCTAATTGTAATCTTTTATTTAGCTTTCTAGAAAAAAGAGTTCTTGAGATGGAAGACAAGCACACACTTCAACTGAAGTCAATAAAAGATGAAAAAGATCAGCTTCAAGTCCTAGTATCCAGACAGAATTCTATTATAGAAGAACTAGAAAAACAATTAGTTACAGCTACAGTAAACAACTCAGTTCTGCAAAAGCAGCAACACGATCTGATGGAGACTGTTCATAACTTGCTTACTATGATATCTACACCAAACTGTAAGTAAAAGCAGACATGCTTATAAAATTTCTGTACTATTTCCTAATTTGTGTACATTATTACCTATAAAGCCTTACACTTAGTTCTGCCACACTTCTGCTTCTCAAAAAGTCTGTATTTTTTTGTGCCTGAGTTAATTAACCTACTTTTTAGGGGGGTAGGGGAAACAATCACATCTTTTATATGGTTTCTTTACAACATTTTGTTCGTCTTCTGTGGTTTACACTGCTTTGCCTTCCCACTTCTCCAGTGGTTCAGCAAAATACAGAGTATTTACAGAGTATCATTCATCTCACATAGCATTCGTGCAGCTATATACAATCCCTTGACCATGTATCTAGGTTAGACTGCATGATGTAGGCCTGCAACATTTCTTCCTGGCTCACACAGGTTGTTTCTGCCACCTCTCATTGCTTTATGTGCATAGAGAAAGGACATAGGAGAAAGGACAAAGAAGAAAGGACAAATTATAGTGGCTGCTAAAGGCAAAGGAATCAGCACAGGCATAGTTTTTACCTCTAACAACAGAAAGCAGCAGCCCAGGGCAACAGGTACTCCCAAAAGTCCTCCACTGAAATTTCCTTGATCATCCTAAAAATCCCTCAGCCCAGATAATTTATAGGCAATAATCTCACCTCTAATTGCCTGACAACCCTGCAACAAATCAGAGCCACAGAGCACAGCTTCCAAATTTATGCAGATTCACATGCTCCATAAAAAACCCCCCACAAACCACAAAGTTATGGCTACACAAGATTTAAACATTCCTTGCCATGAATTTTATGTCTGACAGGGAACCTGGACAAATTAAAAAGGTATAGCTGTTCCATATAAAAGACTGTAGAATCTGGCACATTTGCCTGTAAAGTTCTCAGGACTTAAAACACAAGCATACAGAACCCCTAAAAAGGATTTAAAATTAAATACCACGAAAAATGTTTAAAAGTTGTAATTACAACTTAAAAGATAGTATAGGTGGCATGTGTTATATTACTGTAAGATAGATCACAGAAAAGGAAAAGAGTGTCCAGAAGTCCTTACTTTCAGTTGTGTCCTAAATAATATGATGTTGTAGGTTTTTCAAAAGAAAGTAAATCCCAAGTTTTTTTGTCTTGATAACTGACGCTATCCCCTTAAATGCCATTACCAAGGCTGTACATGTTCCTGCTGATGTTATCTGCTATGCTAGTGCACAAATAAGTAAACAAGTCAAAGTCATGTTGGCTACAGCACCGTTAAACCCAGAGTGGAAAAAATAATGAGTGTTTGCCAAAAAGACAAAATTAGCAGGGAAAGCTTCTAAGACAGTATACAAACAATAGAGTGTGGAAAAGCAATTAAAACACTGAACGTGTTATTTTTATATTTAAGGCAAAACACTTAAACAGGTAAATAATGAATAAGCAAGCTAAAAAGAACATAATAAGCAAATGTAATATAAGCACGTATTTATATGCCACCTAAACGTTTGTAGTAACTGACTGTGCTTTTTAGATTGAATTAAAAGGGAACAAAACCAACACAGAACCAACACAGAACCAACTCCAAAAGGTTCAAATATGAAATATGAGTCAGCAGGCGAAATGCCAGGAAATTCCAAACTCCATAGTTATAAAGAACTGAACAAAAAGATGAACTTCAGATTGTTCTGTAGAATAAGAAGGCTTAGACATATGAAAATGTGTTTTTTACACAAATCAATGCCAGAAGGGATGTCTCTGCAGTGGGTTGGGCTAAGCTACCAAGCTTCAGGTTGCTACATATAAACTTGTTCCTGCTCAGCACAGGGGCAAAGAAAAATATCTAAAATCTTTGCAAGAGTAGTTCCACCAATCTGCTGTGTTATAAAAGATTTCATAACTCTTACACTGAATTTTACAGTATTAGAGTATTGCCCAAAAATGATTACTAACATAATCACTTGCTAGTTAGGTATTTATGTAGTAATAGTTAATGAGCACAGACGTTGTAATACACGTAAGAGTCCAGCAAAGGCAATGAGTGGAAGCAGAAACTGTTTAACTGAATGTCACGCAATATCCTAAGTTTTCTTATTCAACATAAGTATTGGCATTTTCAATTTATGAAGCAACCAGACTCCTATCAGAATAATGTCTGTAAATAATACAAAGTAACAACATGCATAGTAAGTATCTTGATCTGTCATTTCTTTCAGGACCAGACATTTTTTTCTGAGATGGAAAGCTTTAAGCTGATTACATAATAATTGCTTCTCAGTAACTTTTATTTGTATTCTCTTAATGCCTTCCATTTCAATTGTATTTTTAATAGCTAAGAACAACTTCATAGCTAAAGAGGAGCAAATCAGCTTCAAGGACTGTGCTGAAGCTTTCAAATCTGGACTGACAACAAGTGGAATCTACACTTTAACAGTTTCAAACACTGCACAAGAAAAGAAGGTAGGATAAAGAGCTACCTAGGCATACTGGATGTTAAAAGTTATTTGATCTGGCAAATATGCTATTTTGAAGGCTAGTTAATAGTGAAGTTTACTACTTACTAAGGTCTTTTTATAAGCATTTCATCACTCCTAGGTCACAATATCTAAAAGGAAATAAAAAATCCTTCAGGTGAAACCTTGGCTCAGTTAAAATGAGTGAGCATTTTGTTGTTTGTGTCAGCATGCCAGAATTTAATTCCTTTTTCTGCAAAATTAGCGCAGCTAAAGCAATAATGTACTGTTATTTCTTCATAAAGTCTGTAACTCCATCAGAGTTTCTCTGCATGATCTGCAGACTCCTGTCTCCTCTTAAGTTCTTAGTTCTTTCATATGCCCAAGTCTCTTCACGTGGCAAAAGGAGGTAAAATCAGGGACACTGAAGAGTACTCATGGATGTAGACTCATGACAGAGTTTTAAGGACATTAGTATAACAATTGCATTAACAATTAGATCAGCACGACTGACACTGGGTAACTTTTCTGGAAAATACTGCTCTGATTTAAATAAAAGGTGAGTTTGCAGTGGTTTCACTAGATCAGTTTAAATTCCTCTGTGGGTATTTTTTCCCTATGTGTTTAACTGAAATGAACTTCAGCATCAATTTCAGTTAAAGCAGTACACCATAGCTCTATAGAAGAGAGCTCGAGCTAAAAATGGCACTCAGTAGATAAAACATTGGATGCCTGACAGATGCTCCATCTACTGAAATAAATAAAATGATAAAGCTTCAGATAGTACAAGTCAATTGAAACAGTAAACAGAACGTGAAAGGGAGAAAAGTCACACATGGATTGTCAGGATAAAAAACCAAACCCTGTTGGGAGGAATGGGGCACAAACGATGAATGTTTGTTTCTAACTTTTCAGACACAGCTGACGAGGCTAAAGAACATTTGAATATAAAAAAAAATTGCTTAATATATTTCTTAGACAAACACTAAATAATTTTCTAATGTTTTTATTTTCTAATTTCTACTGTAGACATTTTCTTACACAAAAAAAGGGAAATATTTAGTGGAGCTCCTAAGGCTCTACTTTATTACATCAGAAAAACTAACAGAAAATTAAAAAGAACCCAGAGAAAAATGAGGCACATGTGAAAAGAAATTGATAAAACCCTGACAGAGAAATTATTTTTCCCCCAAGCTTGGATAGCAAAGGTTTAGAGATGAAATTCACTAGTGACTAGTCTTTGAAGTGCCAGAACTTCATCTAGCTCAAGCCAGACTGTGATCTTTATATTTACAAAGCTCTCAGCTAAAGAAAATAAGCAATTTGTTTGGGTAACACCTATAAAATACAACAGATAAAACCTGCAAATTTTTTGCAGATATCATCTAGAAAAATTATTTGCAGTCAGCTTTTCTTGGGGAAAAAAAAAAGCTGGTTTTGTTGTCAAATATTCTCATCTAAATACAACTGTTTCACAGGAAAGTTAGTTACATAAGATGGCATAAAATGCAAAGCTGAATGATATTTAAATAGCATAGATATCTACAATCACAATTTTAAAAGCTAAAGGAGATGCAAGCGACTACACCTCTGAAGTAATAGATTGCAGCAGTCTTTGTTAGACATCTCAGGAAGGTTTACATTCCTTGGATCTCTTACTATTACTTGTCTCAAGCTTTTTTCTTTGGTTTTAATTTTACTGTCATATATAATAGACAGAGCATGCATATTTTCTAAAAGCAGATGCAAGTGCAGGACATATTACAGAATGAAAATTTCTGTCATAAACTTTAACACTGCATTTTCAAAAGTACAGTCACAATTTCATAGACTATAAAATATTACATGCTTTACATTTGAACATGGAGGTTTAAAACACTTAACATAAATACCCATTTTGGTAACTAGGATAAAAAGTAGTTAAAATGTACTAATTTAACTAAGTTACTATTAAATCAGTAATTTAATAATTATAAAGAATTTAAATCGTTTTCTGCCCACCTCAGATAGAAAAAAGACAGGGAAGGTTTTACTTACCATATGACATTGAAAATAAGAGACTAAAAAAGTTTTAATCTGATGCTGATTTTTTATACAAATATAGAGGAGTTGTCAAGGGAAGTGAAGGTTTAGGGATAATCAACATGTTACACCATTTTCAACTGTTTATGATGTGGATGGCTACTCAGACCAGGAAACAGAGTGACCTTTTTTATTTGCCAAAAGTGCTGCACTGCTGTTTATGTTTTCATCTTTTCCTCTTGTAACACCTTCTGACCTCCCAACGGGCTTATAAACAACTCCTGTGTAATCTGTAACTGATCCCACTTTACTAATTTGTCTCCCATCATAATCCAAAACTAAGGAACTGCATATGAGAGTCGAGAGGAAAACAATTATTTAATTCCATTAATATTTTCAAGCTTTCCTGTTCTGCACCAGGACAAAAGCTAAGTCCTTTTAAAAACACTGAGGAAAAACAGCAGAAGACTGCTGACACAAGGAAAAATGGCAGAGGCAAACCCATGAAAAGTCAATAGTTTCATGTTTACAGCAACCACATGAACCAATTAACCTCCTGGTCTTAACCAGGCAGAGGACATAAAACTGTTACCAACATATTACCCCAAAGCTTAAAATAGTGACTGAAACAGTGGCTAAGCTCTTTCCCATTTCCACCCATGTGTAGCTGAATTTTTGTCCCAGAACTGACACACATTCAGAGCCAAGGCCTTTTAACCAAAACTTTCTTGCAGACAGTGATTTGGGCAAGGTTGGATTTACCAACAAAATGGTTTATCGGAACCTTCCAAAAAACTAGTCATTTTAAAAGGAGCTTATGCAGTGGTCTTTATGTCTAAAATACACATACACATTGTTTCCAATGCCAAGCATTAAAAAAGATCATATTTGTAGCTTCACCAATACAGTAAGAATAAGTAAGATGATTATGGGTTTTTTTCTATGAATCTTAGAAGTCTCATCATCTGTCTTTTACTGATAGCTGGTATTAAGTTAAATTAAATTATAAACCTTGTGTGTAGTTATTTTTTCCAGAACAAGGAAACTCAGATTGCAGTTCTTATCTAGTCACATCTCTAGGAGGCAGAGACAGCAGAATACAAAATCACTGAACTGCACTTGCTTTGGCATAAAAACTGTAGTGGATCTTCATCCTGATAACTCAGCCTGAGCCTTACCATTCACAAAGTAGGTCTGAAAACACATCCCAAATACCCTCTCACAGTGCCACAGCTGCTAGAATTGTAAGCACTGAAGCAGTTCACAAGATACTTCAAATATTCCCCATTCTAATTTGTTGTAACTTGAGAGGCTAATCTCTTTATTCTTTTTGGCATCTGTTTGAAGACTCCTGCTGCCAGTCTAATCTCGGTATCTATTTTTACTAGTTTTATCAAATGTTACATGTCTTCCTTTTGAATATAAAACCTAGGCTAGGTTGAAAGGTCAGAAGACTTCTGTTCTAGTAACAAGTGATAAAAGAAAGCCTTAGAGATGACTGATATTTTTGGTGTGGAAACATTATACTCCCAAATTTACATAAACTTCTAAAAATTGTTACTGGTAAAAAAAATCTATATGAGATTTTTATGGATATCTCTTCTCCAATTTCCTGTTATGTGTTTCAGTTCCTAGTGAGTTGCTTTTCCTTTTGAGAACAAATTTGCAGTACCCCAGCATTTATTCCAATAAACCTATAGTGCCTATAACAGCTAGTTATCTTACCATTCACTTACAAAATGGATACTGCCTGTTACAGGAATATTTCATGTAGGACATCCACAGTCATTCACTGTTCAAGAATATTTTAATCTAATTAGAACATAATAAAGTGTTATTTAAAGGCATTTATTACTTCAAAGTAGTAATTCCAACTGAGTAAAAATTTAGATGGTAGGCATCAAGGAAATGGAATGTAACATTCAAAAAACCCATCAATTAACATCTACAGTAGCAATCTCAACTGGACTTGCGGCTCTAGTAAATTAATACATGGGCTCCTACTGTACATAGTTAAAAACTCCATGTTACAGAGAAGGGTGAAACAGTTCTGTTCTCCATCTGACTTATACTGTTCTTTCAAGTGGGGTGAAGCTTCAGAATCAACAACTTTCTCTACAACCAATGATATTTTACCATTGTTAAATCAGCTTTTAAACTTGTAGTAATGCTTAATAAAAGTATCTGCATCTGCTTTAGCCCATTCTTAGTATCCTTCATAGCCCTCTGTGGAAATTAGTTTTCACATATACATTACACTTCATGAATTAGCTTTCTGAAACAGATTGATAATCTCTTACATCTTTTCTCTTTTCTTTACAAGGTAATTTTTATTTTAACTAAATAAAATTTATATACTGTTACCAATTTTTTACCAATCATTAAATACAGATGTTATTCAAAACAAAGAAAAACCAGGCTTAGAGGTGCAAGGAATCGCATACATCAGTACAAATTAAAGTTGCTGCTTTCAATTAAATTCAATTCACATGATATACTTTAAGCAGTAATCCCTAATCCAACTCTTTTCCTTATATATTTTATCTTTCCTAAAATCTCAAATTGAATGTCTCATTATTCTCTGATGTTGAACAAAGAGTCTAGATACAAGCTTAAAATAGAGTATCTGCTTTGGATTTCTAATGTGCTATGGCCTATTGAAACACTAAAATATTTGATATTTGCAGCTGAAAGGGCTTTCTTTCTGAAAAGACACTGCTTGAACTGTAAATACATTGTTTGAGTTATATAAATATATACGTTTCTGTGTGCATAACATACGTACAATCCACATATCCTAAAAGAACCAACTACACTGAAAATTTAGTAAGGAGAATTCTTTACTTCCTAAAATGACACACATAAAACTGCCGTAGGACAGAAGGAAATTCTGGCTTCTCTGAAGTCACACTTTTTCAATGAATTTGCAGGATGTTTAACAGTTCAAAGAGCTCAAATCTGCTAACTGCTAACACTGATAAGCCAGTGACCCAAAGAAGAGGATGAAAAAGCCATACAGCTTCAGTGTTATTCAGTCACGATTTGGGACATCTATAGGCACACTGTGACAAGCAGCAGTAATAAGTTAGGTAATAAGTAAGACCACTGAGAGAATTTTTAAACAAAGAAGGAAACATCCAAATTCATACTGAAATGCTTGGCTAGGTTATTTATTTATTTATTTAGTCTGTACAGATGAAATATCCTATCAAAGTGTAGGAAGTAAAATCTTAGCTCCACAGCTGTAAATGGGAAGACACAACTTCCCTTAATAGATGAAAAGACCTAGAATACAGATTAGAAGTTAATTTAATATTAGTAGTTTAATATTCACAATAGAATACAAAAACTTTTCAAAGATGTGAAACAATTCTGAAGAAGACTCAGAACTTTAGTATCTTGGCAGAAAGTGGTAAAAAAAAAATTAAACTTACAAATGAGAGAGTTAATTCACAGTTAATAAACTGTGAATTCTCCAGACAGGAATACTTGTACAAGCAATTTAATTTTTTTCTTAAAGATAGTATTGGTACTAACATGCAATTTAAATAGATACTGACTTCACTTTGCCTTTCGTTGTACTGAATTACACAAGCTCCATTAACATCTCCATTAACTTCACACATCTAGCTATAAGTTCTGTTAGTTTCACAAAAGCAGAATTAGATGCAACAATTTAAAATCCTTTGTCAAGAAAAATTGTACTACTCACATATTTACAACATTTTCTTGTTAATTTGTCCTCTATTTCTCCCAAACATCACCCCAAAATTCCTGTTAATTGTCAAAAGACTTTTTTTCCATCAACTTCTCCCCAATACACTGGCACCTTCAGTAACACCTTTCATCTCTGACACTGTAGTGATTTAATCTAGGAGGAGACTGACTGAGCAAGACACCTATAAACTTGAATTTTACTGTGCCAGGGATGCATTTATTGGGAATTCTAACAGTGAGTTCAGTGAACTGCCTATTACATGTCAGTCCTTTCAAAGTTTTAGCAATGACTTGGTAAAATCAAAGGTGATTTAGGAATATTTGGAAACATCTTATAGTTGTTACTTTTGTGTTCAAGAATATAAGACATTCATTGCAGTCTGTATAATGTGACTTCAGGATTTAACTTTGAGATAATAACAGTTCTACACCTAGATTTAACATTGGGGTCAGACCATTTGCAAAGGCACTGAACAATGACTGTGGAAATAAAACTATATTTCAGTTTGCTTACTGCCTGAACTTGACAGCATACTCTGAAAAGCCATGGGAACTTGTACAGATCTCTCACAGAAAAGATGGAGAACTGAAAACATCTTTTAGAAAAAATATATCATGAGGAAACTCACAAAGATACCAGTGCAAGAGGGAAGTACAGAATAAGAAATTACATTCCTTTTTTTTTTCCTTCGTTTAACAGCAGCTACCAGCTATTTTTAAGGTGTCATTTGTATTCTGTTAAGTGTGATACAGAGGAATATACAGAGGAATCACATCTATTTGTGGACAACCACAACTGATTTGTACGACAGCTATGAAAAACCTGCATTTTTGTGTAACACATATTTTGCACACAACTTGCCTTTCTGGGTTTTTGTTGCCATGACTGCATGCACTTCAGCTGTTACACACTTACTCTGACAGGCCTACTGTGACATGGAAACTGGTGGAGGAGGTTGGACAGTTATTCAGAGACGTGAAGATGGTAGTGTGGACTTCCATCGGACATGGAAAGAGTACAAGATGGTAAGCAGTGTTTTCTGAAGCCTTAATATTAGTTATTATTATTTGAAATCTAATACACTAGAGTTACATTAATAGCATTCTTAGAATGTAAACAACTTAAAAAAGTTGTCCATGTCCTTAGATGCTCATTCAGAAAATGTCAGAATCAAATAAGTTGTTTGTCTAAGCAGACTTGCAAGTGTGATGTTTGTTTTTAAAGAGAAACCTTACTTTTCTTTAATCAACTGTTCCATCATACGTCTACATTTTTTGAGTTATTTATATTTGTGTTTCTAGTGGCAACAGTCGAAACTGCTACAAATCTATGAAGTAATACTGATTCACTGTTTCAGATTCCTGAGCTTGTCTTTGCTGAAATTAACTTTTTGAAATATTACACACCAGTAACCCTCATAGATACAGCAAAATCGTCAGTTGACAGACTTGAAAACTATTAAACTTGAAAATAGATAAAGTGATAATATCAAACTTAAACAAAAAAACCCAACAAAAACAAAGCTTTAATATAACATGTAGTTTAAAATATACACCTTGAATTACAGGGATTTGGTGATCCTGCTGGGGAGTACTGGCTGGGAAATGAGTTTGTTTCTCAACTGACTAATCAGAAGCGTTACGTTCTTAAAATACACCTGAAAGACTGGGAAGGAAATGAGGCATATTCATTGTATGACCATTTCTCTCTAGCAAGTGAAGAACTAAAATACAGGTAAGCAGAAAAATCAGACTTGAATAAAACAAAGCTTTTACAGTAATCATTCTAAACTGTGTAGATGCATGACCTTATTTTGTACAAGTCATGACTATTTTCCATTTCACTCAGAAAATAATGTTTGCTTCATTTTTCACCTATTGCCTAAATAATTATTTCTTTTTCCAAAGGAGAAATTGTGTATTATTCTAGTGCACACTGCCTGAGTGTAACACAAAAAATGCAAAGATGAAGAGATGGTAGAGAATAAGATAGGATACATGTGCCAGTATAATAGATAGGAGTGCACAGTCATCAGGACAATAGGAACCTGTCTGCAGTTGCTATCAAATCCTGATTCCCTGCAATAAATACATTTCTGGAAGATGGATGACTAAGATGAAGGCTTTCCCACTTAAGTCAGTGGCTAGTAGGAACTGTTCTATTGTCATGAAGAGCAGACTGAGGTAATCTGACCTGATGCCTCCATGACCCACTGGTTAAGATTTTCAAAGAATAACTCTCTTACCTGTGAAAATGAAGCAAATGTGCATTTTAACCACCAACAAACTTCTTAATTTAACCACCAGATTTTAATGGACCTTTTGTTTATGCTCCCATCATACTGTAAAATGTAAAGCTTCATAATTTCTTCTTATATCTTAGTTAGAATAATAAATAATACAAATTTCAAATAATTTTTGTATAAATACTATCAAAGTATTATACACTTTAAATAGTATCATAGTATTATACATTTTGAAATAATATCATCCACAGCTGAAATATATGGGCAGTTTATAGTTTATTCTCCAGGCTCTCTGTAAATGCAGGAGATATTGTTTGATTTGCTCTAGAAGAAACTAGAGACTCCACAGCATAACAGATGCTTTCCTACTACATGGTCCATGAACTGTTTCTTTTTAGTAATCATACAGAATCATGGAGCTTTAGGTGACTGGACAGAAAAATTATGTACATTTAGGTGAATTTCTCCAAGATTTCTAGCAGCTATTTGTTGTAAATAAAGTTAATCTGACACCTGAGAGAACTTGATGCTGTTATTTCAACTCAAATCTTATTGCAAGCAAAGCAATTCCAAACTATCAGCATCTGCCCCCCAGAAAACATTAGATCTTAATGCCTTCGTAGTATACAGTTGTCTCAACTCCAAAGTAAATATTTTTTCATCTGGTAACAGTCAGAATCTACAGCAGAGATTTTTTTTAAAGTAATTCTTTAAAATACTTAGAAAGGCAACCTTTGCAAATTGGGTCATTACCCTTGTCTACTTACAGTATTAAAAAATAATTACTGAAAACTAAGATGGTAAAAGAAACTTTCTTATAATATGCAACCAAACATGGAATGAATCATAAAATGGTTTAAAGAATATATTTAACATTATGAAAAAGAAAAAAAAAATCCAAACCACAAAGAAAGTATTCAATTAAGAGTATCTTCGATGCCCCATCTAGGGGGCAGTGTTCAAGGCCAGGCTGGACAGGGCTTTGAGCAATCTGGTTTAGTGAAAGTGTGAAATCTGGTTTAGTGTAAGGAGGATTGGAACTAGGTGATCTCTAAGGTCCCTTCCAACCCAAACCATTCTATGAATCTGTGATCCATTAAGTAAGAAACGATTAATACATTCCAAATGCTGGAAAGATTATGAGTTGGACCATAAAACTGAGATAGAATGGACTTTGAATCAAACTTTCTGACCTCAAAGCTAAGAAGTCAAACCAGGTTTCTCAGGGCTTTTCAGTTATGTCTTGATAACCTCCAAAGGTGGAGACTGCACAATCTGCTTCTCTGTCCTCATGGCAAAAAAGGTTTTCCTGATATCCAGTCAGAACCTCTCATTTCAATTTCCATCCACTCCCTCTCATCTTCTGTTATATTAAGCTGTACTTAAAAAATTTATTAATAACAGTAAGTGAATAATACTGTGCCTACATTCGACTTCAAATTATATTTAAGAATCAAGCCTAGGCACATACATTACACTTGGAAATTTTAATAATAATTTATGTTATAAATTGCCTTGTATAATTTTGAACTCATCTTAAAAAAAAAACAGAATAAATTTTTGGAAAGACATTTTTGAGAAAATCTGTAATGAGCTGATCTTTTGAAACCTAAATGAGTAAAAATTCATTCATTCAATATGTTTTCAAATAAGGAATACAAAATGTGTTAAAATAATCTGTTAAACTCCCAAAGACAACTTCTATCATAAGCGAGAATTACATGGAAGATAAAGATTGATTCAGGGACAAGTTAATTCTCCTCAGAGATTCAGATCTCCTCCTTAAACAAACAGAATGCCTCTGAGAAGCATGAGTTATTTGATACAGAAATTCAACCACCAAAGAGATACTATGAGAGCAGAGGGTTCAAGTCTTTCCAGTTCGGTGTCCTGTGTCTCTCCCCACTGAGACTGCATCAGCACCTGTGTAAGCACATCCCAACACAGCAGCAGCCTCACTGAAAGCTTACCTTGCCAGGGAATTGAAGAAAACTTAAATACTTGCGAGGATTTCATGCTAATAAATCTATGAGAGATGTGAAAAAGAAGAATAATTAGGAAAGTAAAAAGGGAAATACTGAGAAACTTCTAAAATATCAGTTACTAGCTTGTAATTAATACTCCAGACAATGTTATTATTTCTGATATATGCAGTTATCATGCTAAACTGCTATGTTGTGCTAACAGCAGAATGGGAATCAAAATTTTTGTTTTAAACTTAATAAACAAATATTTGTAGTACTGTTACATAAGAGTACAACAGTGTACTTTCAGTATTAAGAAAAACATGATCTACATGAAAAATTCCAGGAGTTATTATATACTTGCTCTAATTTGCTTCTAATATGATGGCATGAACAAACAATCATCTCTATAAATGTGGAGGCTGTTCATTAGAATGTTGTGCTGACCACTTCTGTTCATATGAAAACATTATGCTGAAAAACAGCTTACAACAGTACATTGGCCAGAAGAGAACTTAACCATTTAAACAGGATATTTATTGCAAACTATTCCATCATTATTTTGCAGATCAGATACCATCAACTTCCACTTAATAATTGTTTTTCCATTTCTCACTTCTACAGGATTTACCTTAAAGGACTTACTGGGACAGCGGGCAAAATAAGTAGTATAAGCCAACCAGGAAATGATTTTAGCACAAAGGATGCAGACAATGACAAATGTATTTGCAAATGTTCACAAATGTTAACAGGAGGTAGGAATGTTTTTATGCTTTTCAGTCTTCCTATTTTTATTGGCAATGAAATTGTCTACGAGATAAACAGTGATAATTTTGAATTAGTAAATTTTGACTATTAAAAAAGCTCAAAGCTCACAGATAGAAACACTAGTATGGTGACTCCAAATGAAGTATTTTATCATTTGACAATGATTAGTTAAAGTAAAACAGGAGAAGTTAAAGCAGAGGAAAAAAGTCTCTAAAGCTGGGGTACAAGAAAGTCTGTAATTGTGGAACTAATCAGAGAGATAGCAGATTCTTCCTCCAAGGAATGAGATAATAGTCAGAGATCAAAACACAATTCCCTGCAAAAAACCTGTTTCAGAGATCCAGCTCATCAGTGAAATGGCTCCTGATTCTTTAGGTATAAACTCTTTCCCTCACTACCCAGAGAAGAAAATCCCCAAAAGCTGCTGTGTACTGCACATGTTACAGAAGGCAACACGAATTATAAATACATTTTGATAAAATTATGAAGTGGTAAAGATACATCACAGATATATCTACATTTTTCTAATGATTGTTCACTACTTATTTGAGTTCTAAGTGATATTTTTATCTTCAACCAAATTCTATAATTTGTTAATCAGAATTCCACATTCTGAAATGTAAACAACTTCTTTGTAAATTTGACTTCTCTTCCTGTTATCTCTTAAGCAATGGTTTGTTTTCCTATAGCGCAAGTTGCAAGAAAAAAAAGACAGCTTCAGTTTGTCCAAAAGGATAATTGGATTATTGCCCTGCAAAACAGAACACATATATTATCACCATCATAACAGAAGTATAAAAATAATATTAATAAAAATAAATTTTCCTTATGACCCACTAACAGGTCAGGACAACGAGGGCTGCTTTTTCCTCCTTCTCCTTCTTACCAAGTTTCAGAAGGTTTTGAATTGATCTGCACAGAGAACTGAATTAACCCTCTAGGAAGGATTAAGAAATGAGTTCAAATCTCTGAAGAACAGGAATTTACCAAAGAGTAAATAAAATCAAAGACAACTCAGTATCATTATAGTTCATGTTCTGCTCTCAGACTGTCAACAATGTCTGATGTTGTTAAGCTTGATTGAACACCTTCCCTTCTCAATTTTAAAGTACAATGTATTATATAAGCTTCAAGAATATGTAGTTGATACATAAAATACACTTCTTTTCTGAGTTTGAGGCAAGTGTTTTATACTGACAGTTCCAAATCATAAGAATGAAAAACTGGGTTTAGATTTCTTTTTCATTTTCAGACAACAAAGTGACCTTATATACTATTTTGAAAATTACTTCTGCTGATGTTTGTCTTCTGTCTTGCAGGATGGTGGTTTGATGCCTGTGGTCCTTCTAACCTCAATGGAATGTATTATCCATTACGACAGAACAACAACAAGTTTAATGGGATCAAGTGGTACTATTGGAAGGGCTCGGGATACTCTCTCAAAGCTACAACTATGATGATACGACCAGCAGATTTCTAAATGTTTTTGAGTTATGTGAATTGTACAGTTTTCAAAGACTTAATTTGCCAAGCATATAAACACACATCTGCAACTTGTCTCATTTTTCAAGCCCAGAAAACATGCACTAGTCTTCTGAAGGGGTCAGTTCAGTACAATTCCTGAATTGCAATAGCCTTGATCAGCTAAAGCTCATATTATTCAACCAGACACAAAGTCTAAAGCATCAACCTGATAGTGATTTGGCCAAATGACTGAATAAAAAGAACATCCAAGAAACTGTCAGACAAGGACTCTGTTTTACCGATCATTTACGCTATGTATGTGTTAGTAAATAACTGGAACTGTGAAAAAAACCCTAAAATAGTTTTAGAAATACGCATTTTGCCTCACCACTGTACTTTAAACATTAATATAAAACATTTAGTTAGATCTAGAACTATTTATCTTTATCTTTCTGTGTCATGTTTGCCCTTTATGTACATAAAAAAATACTTTCCTGTAATTAGTTCAATACTGTAGGCAGAGAATACATTCTTTCCCTCCATAATCTCCTAAACAATTCTTACACTTATTTGGGGATTTTTTCCAATAGCCCATATTATGTTATTTAACAGTGGAAAAACAACATTTGAATAGTTTGCATTTATTCTTGGGGAAATACCATGTACAAAAATCACCATTTCTTTCAGTTTGTACTATTATAGTTTCTTTAAATTACAAAAATTGCTATAAATTACAATATAGTATGTATTTCTTTATATTTTTATGAAGACTACACCTTTTTTCTTCCCTTGTCATTTACCTGTAAAATAATTGACCAGTATTCTACAAACTGAGACAACGGCATTAACACCAGATGTCCGGTTGTCTATGACAATCATGTATCACCTGGTGCTGTATTATATCTATATGTTTTGTAAAAATAACTTAAATGAAAAATATATGCATGTTCTTTGATACAATTAAAATTATGCTTATGAATTAAGATACAAATTACTACATTTTAAAACCAGGAAACAAAAATCTGAAAGTAATCTACGGTCACACTGTTGGGGTTTTTTTAAGTAAGGTTAGGAATTCTCCCTAAAAATTCTCTGTAGGTAGGCCCTCAATGTATGCCACAATGTGAATAAATTACTTTACTAGGTGATCTTTGCTTTTTTTTCCTCCATCTCATTTTGTTACTATATGCTTTAAGATTGTGTACTAAACACTACAGTTTGGATTGAGAAGATATTTCTTCAAAAATCACACAAAATATAATAATTTTTTTGAGATTTTTCCTCAAATTAAGCTTAGCTTTTACTTCTTATGCTTAGTCTTAGCCTTAAAGTACTATTTTGTAAAACTTTACTTTCAGCAGATGACTGAACTAGTTAAAACACAAGAACATAGCCCAAACCAAAACAAAATCCTCAGGCACAAAATTTTGGCAAACTTAGTTAACAAAAAGGGCAACAAGGCTCATGAAAGGTCTAGAAAACATGTCTCATGAGGAACAGCTGAGGGAGCTGGGTTTGTTTAGTCTTGAGAAGAGGAGGCTCGGGGTGGATCTCATCACTCTCTACAGCTACCTGAACAGAGGTTGTAGCGAGGTGGGGGTTGGTCTCTCCTCCTGTGCCTGCAGTGAGAGAAATTGAGGAAATGATCTTAAACTGAGACAGGGGAGATTCAGATTAGAGGTTAGGAAAAAATTTTCACTGTTAGGGTGGTCAGGCATTGGAATAGGTTGCCCTGGGAGGAGGTGATGGAATCACCATCCCTGCATGTGTTTAAGAGGCATCTGCATCTGGCACTGACTGATGTGGTTTAGGGGTTACAGTGGCAGTGCTGGGTTTATGGTTGGACTGGATGATCTTGCAGGTCTCTGTCAACCTTGATGATTCCATGATTCTATCTTGAAAGCAGTAAACGATTTTGAGAAAGATGGAAGAAAACTCTCCATTTTATACTGACAGTCATTAAAGCTGCTGTCAGAGAACACCACCACTGAAAATGTGTCATCACTACTAAAGTATAGCAGATACAAAAAATATTTCTAATATTACTTCATGAAATCCAAAGAATATAAATTAACAGTCATTGTCTGAAGACTTGCAAAAATAGTGTACTTAAAATTACTGGTTAATATTTTATTGTTTTTTCATAGTAAACTTGTAAGGATATATGTATCCCAAACTAAAAAAAAATATGTCATAAAATTGCTTTCATGAATTCCTAAGAAATGTCTTAGAGAGCAAACAGTAAAGCAGGTAGCAAGGAAGCTATGCATACCAAGAAGCACACAACACATGAAGAGAGACCTAGAGAGATGGCATTTTTCAGCCTAGAGAGAGAAGGGTAAGCAGACACCTTACTGCTGTCTAGAACTGCCTGATCGAGGACACAGAGATGACAGAGGCAGACCCTTCTCGGAGGTGCACCACAGTGAGACAAGGGACAGGGACAAAATACAGCAAACACACGTTGGAATTGGAGAATGTAAATTTTCTTTCTAATTCATTCACTCATTACTACGAGGGTGGACTGGATGAGTCCCTTGGAGCAGAGTGTTGAACTAGGCAATGTGCAGAGGTCCCTGCTAATTTAAAATATTTTATGATCCTGAGAAATCTAATAGGGATGCTGAGTATACATTACTGCATTTCCTGCTTTCCTGCATTTAATTAGACAACTAAAGAAAATGCTCCCAATTTGTGACACTAAGCATATCCACGTCAATAATCTAGAGTAAGAAAAAAAAAAGCCAACAAAACCAAACAAACAACTCCCCAAAAAGCTTCTTGAAAACCACGATGGAATCTGGCACAGTATGAATGTTCAACCTGGCAGAAGAAAATAGTACTAACTTCTGGTTGACATTAACTTTATTTATTTTGGTAAGAAAACACTGTATGACAAAAATAATTTAATATTGCATGGCTAGTTTTTCTTGTTGAAAACAAGTCTTTATAAAGCTTAAGACTTTTTGATGACTATTCTGGGAAAGTGATCAAAAATATTGATGTAGATACTAAATAGATAATTGTTTAATGAGACTTTCATTTTGGGAGGAGTTTATCCACATGAATGTGAAATTTTAGAGTGAATATGTTTTTAAATGACATTTTCTCTAAAGAAGATTGCATGACAATCACCATGGTGCAAACACCAAGTCAAGTGAGAGGAGGACATTTCAAGAAGGCATGAAATAACAGCAAACAGAACGCTTCAACAACAGCTTTGGGCTTGGTACCAAAAATTAAAAAACCAGCAAGGTAACCCTTACTTTTAATTCCTTCCTGTAATCAAATAAACAGTGTATAAAACTAGAATGCACTTCAATGTTCTCTAAATACTTCTTATGGAGCAGGAAAACAATAAGAAAAGAAAGGAAATATAAAAAAGGAAAGAAAGGGAATATAAACACCATTCATGCTCAAATAATAATCATATCTTTAAAAAAAGTAAGATGCCTGTTACAGTAAGAGAGTGATTAAAGAAGGGAATGATTGGAATGGTGATGGAAATATCGCCTTGGACACCAACTTTGTTTCTCTGCAGGAGAGAAGTGATTCAGGTTCTCAGTAGAACCATAACCTCCCTCAATTTTATATTATCTCCATTTCTCAAACCCTCTTTACTTCTGCTTTAGGAATAAAAACTCTAAATGGAATCTGAAAAACAACCCCGAGAGGAATCACTTCCAAAGAATGCTATTGTTACTGATAGCATACTTTGTTATTAAACAAGGTAGTCTGAAAAAGACACAGAAAACTCAAAACAGTCTGAAATACAGTGTAATTTTTTCATAGAAATAAGGGGAAAAATGCCACATGCTTCTTATTTATTTTTCATATTAAATTTGACCATTCCTAATGTGTTTCCTATATAAAAAACATTACCTTTGTCCTTTTAGAAGAAACTAGAAAATTATAATGGATGATTAATTTCTTCAAGCTTATTTCAGAATAACTGTTACGGTTTCCCTACACTTTGAAAACATGACTTATAATCATGAAGTAAAGACTTCATGTTGAATATGCAACTTTACATAAATTGTAAGTTTAAAAAGAATTTTAAAAATAAGCTCTTAACACTTAATAAAATAAGAGTAAAAATAAAGTTCAAACTCCATTAACTGTTCATTCTTCAAAGTCTGTATGAAACTTTGAGAAACAAATAGCAGATGGTAACATATTTAACTAGCTGGTACAATATAAGAGAAATGGGGAAACCTTTCTTGGAATGATTGACTAGTAACTAGCTAGAATTCTACTTGATTTATTTAAAAAATAAAATTACTGTTTAATCAATTAGAACATATGAAGTGCAGATACTCGCAGGTCTGCACAGGTACACAGTGCCCCCATATGCACACTTTTGCATTTGTTCCTGATTCAGTATTTGAGAATGATCATTAGAGGCAGTTCTAGAAGGCCACAGTAATTTTCCATTTTCCAAGAAATTTCTGGACCAAAAAAATTGAGTCCATGACCTGCAAATCTTTCCATTTGGCAATAGCATGCCTCTCCATTTTATATACAAGCACAGGTAGAAATAAAATTAAAGTACATCTATACTTCAATAAGATCTTGGCTTATTCATATGTTAATTGGTGGATCAATTTTTTGCATTTTCCACGAATACCAGAGTTTTTGCACACACTTCAAAAAGTAGTGGGAAAAGGAGAAGATAACTCCTTACAGTATTTGCTTTAAAAAATACTTTTTTTCTAGTAGGCTTTCTTGTTCACAAAACCTGTTTAGAGGGCCAGTCATTTCCCAGATAAACAAAAGAAGGTTCAGAAGCTTAAAGGACCATTAAACTTGCAGGAGCTGCAGGAAAGCTGGATGAAAGCTCATATGGTTCCTCTGAAATCCAATGGCCTAGTTCCAAAGACCACAGAACCTAGAATTAAATAGGTAGTAAGTAGAACTCTTATAGTTTCTAAAAAAATAAACTCTTTGAATGTGTAATTAGAAGTGACAGTGTTGTTGCAACAGTTGTTGAAAAATCACACAATCAGAAAAGATACAAATTTTACAACTGATACAAACCATTAAAACACCAGTCATATTTCTGTGCATAGCTACATTAAAATTTAAAACCTTGTGATGATATTAGAAAAGTCAACTTATTTTCATCACAATACATAGAATTAGAACAAAGATTCCAAAAGGGAAGTCATACTATATCAGTTCTGTTCTCTTGGTTCAGTTAATCATTGAACTTCATGAGGTTTCTGTTGGCTCGTTTCTCCAGCCTCTCAAGGTCCCTCTGAACAAGAACACCCATCTGGTGTGTGAAACACTCCTCCACAGTTTTCTAACATCTGCAAACTTGCTGAGGGTGCACTCTTCCCGATCATCCAGATTGTAAATGAAGATGTTAAACAATGGTGACAAGGATTATGCAATTATTGCATAGAATACACATTACATATGTAAATCAGCCTGCAAAGAAGAAAAACTTAATTTCATTTTCTTTGGTCCCCTCCTCTGTCAGTGTCCCCCTCCCCTTCCTAGAGCACAAAAAAAAGTGCAGAATATTGACTCTCTTGAAAATACATAATCTTTTGTGTTCAACTGAGCTCTGAAACACTGGATCAATATGATCCTTGGAGATTAGCAATCCTAGCACTTTGGACTACTTTCAGACTTTTGTTCCCATCAGCGCCATCACGGTTAGCCCAAAAAACCTACTTAAAATGGTGGTATTTTTAATTTCTGAAAGACGTTAATTTTTTTTTTTTTAAAACTTTCCCAAAACTACTTCATCCAGCATTTTTTCCACACTGATTTTCTAAACCATTCTTCAAAACAATTTACCATAACTTGCAGTTGGTAGACTATAATATTAAAAGCCCCCAGTCAATGTTTAGGTACTATCCCTCAACTGGTAAAAGCATCGTCTTAATGGGAAAATGTAAAAGAGTGAAGTTTCTACATTGGCTCTGCCCTTGAGTCATATAAAGGACATTTTGCTACTAATTTGTAGATAGTCTAAATTTAGAAGCACATTCTGATGGAAGACAAGATTATTTTCCTCATTGGTTTCATCAGTGGTGAGCCATAAAGCTTCTTATATAGGTAAAAGACTGGTAAGTTCTTTGCCAATTTTGTCCACTCATTCCATTCAACAACTTTTCCCTTTTAAAGATATTTAAGCTTCCAGTAGTTGCCATCAAGCACTTCTTAAATACAAGTCAAAGCAACAAATGCTGCTTACTAGTACCTACCCTGCTCTCCTAGAGCAACAGATAGTATTAAGGGAACAAGAAGCATACATATACCCCCAAAATGGGATATATGGAATTTATCAGAGAGTAAATCACTGTTTTAGATTAATTCTACCTCTGTCACATTTTCCCTAAATAGCTCTGTAACCATTTTAAATAGATGATGTCTGTTTCTTACTGTTAGCACAGCCAGGCACCATTAAACTGTCATTATTCACCTTAGAACAAGCTGAATTTCATCAGTGCATGAAATTATTCCCACGCTTGATTCACAGTAACTGAAACACTCTGTTGTTTGTTTTTTTTTCTTTTGGAAGATGCCATACAAATCCATATATTATTAATTTTAATTATAAAACATTACCTCATAAAATTTGGGAGCAAGTCTGCGAGCTCTTCCACTTGGATAAAAACTGGCATTACAGATATTGACCACGATAAAGTTATCCTCTACAATGATAAAGCTCACTAATGAAAAATTTTAAGCTGAACAGAGTGATTGTAAACTAGCAATGTAAACCTTATAAAACGGCCTAACTGTATATAGGAAAATAAGTAAGTTTCTATAAAGGGCTCTCTTGCCTCAAATCTATTGCTACACAAAGTAAAATTTCAAAAATTTTCAATAAAAAAATTATTTTCTAAATTAAGTTCTACAGTTTTCAGTCAAAAGCAGCATATGCCTCACAACTTTCAGGGAAACTAGCAAGCTTTAATGTGAACTGCTACAAAAGCTGGTGCTTTGTGTGATGTGACAAGTTGTGTTTGACTTGTGAGGGGAGGTATCCAATTTTGCAGGCGACTGCAAGTGAACAGTGATTTGTTGCAGGTAATAAAAAACAGCATATCTTCAAACTTATTGCTGAACTTGATTACAAAATTCCAAAAAATATTATGTTTTCTTTAAGAAGATGTACAACCAAATATTTGAAAATGCAAGACATATACAAGAAGAGAAAATAATTTCTACAGTCATTATACCATACCAAACACAAAAATAAGAGTTAAGCACAATAATAAATCAATGACATTTAACAAATAATCAAAACTCAATAACGCATTGCTGCGTTCAGCTAAGTATAGTAACTTCTTAAAAACACACAGACTGCAACGTAGGATTGTAAATTATAAATTCCTTTTAGTAATTTAAAGTAAGAATATTGAACTCTGTGAGCTTTATACTTATAGTTGTATGTATTTATTGAAAATAAAAAAAAATATTGAAAATAAAAAAACTTGTTAATCCAAGCCATTTCTCTTTTAAATCCAGCATAAAACAACTTTAACAGAACTGAGAAAATTGTAACTTCTAACACAATTCATAGAGACGTGCTACACAAAAATAAATTCTTCATAAATAATCTTCAGCAGGAACAGATGTACCATGCTGTGTAACGTGTACATCATGTCCTTATAGTATCAAAATTATGTTTGTACCAAAAGTTGCTGGACAATGACCCAAACAGATTAAAACATAAACCCAAAAGATTAGTTATGATTAAGTAATCCCTTTCCATTTTCCAGGCCAATTCTACAGCAACAGATCTATCAATCCTTGTAGTATTTACAGAATTTTGTTTAGAAATGAATTGTGCTTGTCTTAACAAAAGATGGATTAATGCTTGTCTATCATGGTTCTGGAATTGAGTACAAAGGCATGGTATCTACGTTCCTAGATAAAAAGAAAATCGGATACTGAGTTCATGAACAGGTCCTGGAGTAAATAATTAGGTCAACACTCACTAAAACATTCAGTTTTCATGAAAACAAAGACAAGAGCTTTCCATTGCAAACTACTGAAAGTTTGTTTCTGCCTTTGACGAATTTTCAACCAGTATACTTTCACAGCAACACTAAAAAAAAATGCTTGAAATTCATATAGGACAAAAACAAGTTATGATTTTGCAATATTATTCTGAGTTGAAATACTTCAGAATATAAACATTTTTCTATTGAGAAGAAAGAGCTATCTAGAAGTTTTCAAATGTGTAGTTACAGAAGATTTAACTTGTAAGGATAAAGCAGTACTGCATGGATCAAGTAGGAATGCTGGATATAGGAGTATCAGAAGTTAGGAAAATACAGCTGATAACATTGAGATATTAAGAATATATCAGATTCCAGTAGAATACAGTCTTCCTGATCGTGGAGGACCCATGTCAGGAGAAAACAGGAGGGAAGAAGAGAGTGAGAAAAGCATAGTTTTTCTGTGGAGTTCTTACAACCTTAAAGAATGTTTTCCTTTGGCGTTGGACTCTAGAATCAAGTTGATCAATCTGTTACTTCATCCTCAAGTATGGGTTATTTCAACTAATTCAGTAGCAGGTAATCTGTACGGCATGGAGCTCCAACAAGTGTTCTGCAGGTTATACAGCTAAAAGTTCAGCCTTGGTGCCAGTTTTCCTCTGCACATCCATATCAGCTATGTTCTTTTATCATACAGGGGAAGGTATGCCAGACATCAAGTTCTCAAGGATCTGAAAACACACTGTTTGAGTAGTCATTATTTATGGTCTCTTACCCCATCCAGATAGCACACTGAATGATCATATGGTATTTGTACTCAAATAATTCATCTTGGAATATATAAATTGAGGCTATGAAGATTAAATGTCTGATGGCAAATTTGGTATTTCTCCAACATCCATCTTTAAAAATACAATTTTAAGTTTTTCTCAGAAGAAAAAAAATATTTCAGCCTAAATTATCTCCACGTTACAAGTCAAAAGGCACAGGTAAATAACTTCTCAAAACATTGAGAGACATCTTACAAAAGACAATCATCATAGGTCAAAAGTAGTACCTTGTTTAAAAAGTGTAACTAATTTCTCCAGATTGCTTGATTATTTTAATTATCCAATTTGAACTATTTTACCAATGAAAGTACTTTTGATAGCATTGATTACATTTAAGTGATTCAATAATGTAGCATCAATAAAAGGAGAAGATTATTTTGCTTAAATGAAGTTCTCCTAACTAATTTGCTACTGAATTCCTCATGATGGCTTCAGCTTTCTCTTCTCTACTTTCCAGTTAACCAATTTGGGTTAAAAGATGGCAAAATTATGCCAGTGACACAATCAGGAATAAGACAAAAAAGCTCTTACATTATAAGGTTCGTTGATTTAACCAGGTTAAGATGTATTTTTTTTAATAAATTCAAAGCACTAATTTATTTCAGTGAAAGAGATTACTTAATTACTTGAGGGAATAAGTCTGCAAGGTAGACCATGAGATAGGAAGACAAAATTTAGGGCTACTACTGATCAGTATATTCTGTGAAAAGCATGGGTAGATGGCTTCACCATGGATTTGTTCACTGAAGTTCAGAGTGTACAATGGGCAGTGAAATTTCAGGACAGCAATTGTCAGAATACTGATTATCCAAATACTGCCTTATGTACAAAGACAGGAAGCTATTTTGTACTGGTTACATCTTTACTGCCTTAGGAGTTATTTGACGCTTTTTTCCAAGATAAAATGTAGCTTTCATATGTGACTACCCTGTTATGAAAAAATAGCTTATAGAATTATGTTTGACTTGTTAAATGCTCCATACAAAGCCCAGTGTGGGATCGATATTTCAGTGTATTTAATTCATAGATGCAAAAAATCATATAGTAGCTGAGGTTAGAAAGGACCTTTGGAGATTTTCTCTTCCAGACCCCCTGCTCAAATGTGTTTTTCTTAATGCAGTCAAGCTTAATGAAGCTATTAGTCTTTTTTTTTTTTTTTTTGCCACAAAGGCACATTACTGAACCCTTAAGGTGACCAAAGTTGCAAATCCTCTATTCCAAGGGAAATTAATCACCAAAACTTTATGAAAACCCTGAAGGATACCCCAGCAACTTCATATATATATATATCACACAAGACAAGCTTCACACTATTAAGTGTCAGACATCTCAGAAACAAAAAGGCAACACAAGTTCATTTTCAAGCCAACAATTATATTTTCAAGTATTTATAAGAAAAAGGAAACCAAGAAATTGAAAGTTATTCAACAAACCTTTTCTGTATAAGATGAAGAGCTATTTCCATACAAATTCCAACAGCTATGTTTCATAGTTCCAGAAATAGTTCCATTATCACAGTAAGCAACTGAGATGGCTTAAGCCTGGGCTGACAGGTAAGCTCCCCACCCAGTCTATATATATATGTGTGTATATATATAATATAGTTTTATATTTTTCCTACTTTCAGCAAAGGACCTAA